CCGCAACGCCTTCAAGAGGATATTGTGCGGCAGGAAGAGACCTTTTCAGCGCCAGTCTTCGCGGTTTTCATCAGTTCGGTTTACGAGATCATAGCAAAGCGGGGTGCCGGGGGGGCGGAGGGGGGGTAGGGGGCGGGCCCCTTGCCCCACTACCACCCTGGGCCTGGCTGCTGCCACCCACCTGGCCAGCTTGCCACCCATCACGGAGTCGACGCTGTGAGCCGCCCATCTGGCGGCCCAGGGCTGGTCAACCCCCACGGCACCACCACACTATTCCGCTACTATGTAGTTTTGTACAGAGTATCTCGCCTACAGTACGGTATATGTTTAAGATTATTAACTTCATGTTCATCTATGGTGCTGTAATACTGTAAGTGATATATAATGACCAAATATTGTAACATAATACTTTTACTCGTTGTATTTACCTTAAGAATACACTCAACACCTGTAAATATGTCTTATATAATGAGAATCGTTGTCTGGCACAAGTCAGCCCGACACCTGTACACGTGCTTGCTTCAGCTCGTGCCTACACGTGCTTGCTTCAGCTGGTGCCTCGACAATCACACCTGCTCCTCCACACACCTGTCACCACACCTGAGTATCACTGTTCATGTGTGACTTCCTCATAGCGACTGTCATCAACCTAACAAGTGTTGTCTCCAGTAAATCTTGTCATGTTTAGACACCTGTACCATGCAGCTGTGTGGCAGTGTATCTTTCGCAGCTGCTACATGTCTCACTTAACACCTGTTCTTCTCACCTGTCATACTATTGTTCCTTCAACATGGTCTTCCTCACTTCATATATTTCTTTTCATGTCCATTTTCCTCATTCGTATTTCCTCTTTTCCTTACCATCACTTCATATGTTCCTTCTTTATCTGTCACTCTCACCTCGCATCATGCTCAAGTCTCACCTAATCCTCATTCTCATCAAATATTATCCTCATTTTTACCTCATAATTACAGATAAACATAACATTCATCTCATTATCATTCTCATTCAATTATCACATATATCTATCTCTACTTGCCTCACTCTACCTTCATTAATCCTCACCTCATCGTCACCTCACAATCACCGAGTCGTATTATCAAGCGACAACCGATTCATTCCACGATTCGTTTTTTGTTTTGGTTTTTTGTTCACATCTGCCACGTGTGTAAGCTCCTCTACACTCAACACGCTTTACCAGGCATGATTGAGTGCGTCACTGAATCCAGGTTTACTCTAGGTGTTGTTTACAAATACTGTATGAATGAATCACCCCCCCCCCCCCACTTTTAAACACGACCTATTGTATGTTTATATATGTAGTGTCATATAGTCCATGTTTTTGTTAAGAGACTAGTGTTATATGAATGACTATATCTATATATATCTAGTATATGTGTATAATAAACATAGATCATTTATTACGTTAACTAGAGCCCGGTTATATTATGAATCACGGTAATATACGTGTATTTAACGTGTCCTAGTGTTTCTTTCTCTGTTTCTCAGTGTTTGTGTGTCACATGACTGGCCCTTCAACACAACAATATAAACAGTACATAATGTATTTAGTCTGATAGCTCCTATTTTTTCAATATTACACACAAGTGATATAGGATTATAATATACAAAATTTGGAATATATCAGTATTATAGTATAAGTGTCCATATTAATATATTATACATAAATATATATATCTGTCTGGCTGACTTGTTCCTCTTACGTTAGGTTGGCAACCCTGACGAGGCGACAAACTCCTCAGGGTTGGTCAGCCTGACAATTAATTAACCGTAGAGAGAACTAATATTAACTCTTATGTAACTTAGGTTTAAGGAAGCTGAGCCCCCTTCTTCGTCTAATATAACTTAAATGTTAATAAATGATAGATATATTGTTAACCCTTTGTGTTTCTGTTACCCCCTTAAGTTAAAATAACTTACAACACTTTAGTTCACTTTGTTTTAATTCATAGATATTTTAAGACAAATTCTACCATAAGTGTTTCAAATTTACTCAATATGTCTTTTATCTTTACATAGGCCTATCTATCTATCTATCTATCTAGCTATTTATCCATTTATCTAGCCTACTCTTATTGTCTCTCTATGAAACCTAAATTTTTCCTTTATCACTTCTCATTCTCTTTTTTCCCCTTTCTCCCTCATCATCATCCTCTTCTTTTCACCCATTTACTCTCTCATATTCATCTGTTCCTTCACATAATTATCCCCAGTTTGTTTCCCTCTCCAATCCATAATCTCCGTTCTTCATTTTTTACGCTCCACTCCTTTCTTTCTCTCTCCTCCCCACTCCTTTCTCAACCTCTCCTTCAGCATCGACCTCTTCAATGTCTACTCTTTATACTACTACACATTAAGTACCTTCCTCCGAGGCCAAGATGGACTCTATAACTCTCGGTAAGGTAAAGGAAGTGTCACCATAAGGAGTAAACTATTATATAAATCTTCTATGGTAACTTTTGTTTATGAAGCTCCTTATATAATTTTCCTAATTTGGGGAGATTAGTTATTTTATTTTATTATTTTACTGTATATTTTTTTTTATTTAATGTATCGCCATATAATCAAAATCATTTCCTACGTTTGAGCTGAAAATTAAATTAAATTCGGTCATGCAAAAGCTTTCTTGATTACAGTATCTCGCCATGAGGACTCAGTGCATGACGCTGTAAGCTTCTCGACTGGGTCATGAACGCGGCGTCGCCTTCCCATGCAAAAAACTCCCTAACAGGCTGAAGTAATGAGGTCAAAGCTCCTGTAATAACCATCTAACACTTATAATTAACCTCTGTAGGACCAATAACCATACGTTGCATCAGGTTGCTAATGCTTATTTCAAGGATAACGCTCCTCTGTTATTCAGTACACACGGAATGAATACACAACACCCAATAACACTACGCTACACCTTGTTTGGTTATAAGATACACCTCTATTATATTACACCCAATAGAAAGATATACACTTTATAAAACAATGAAGAATTAATTTAACTATTATCTTAAAGCTCATTAACTCTTATGTTTTATTTCATATCAACTTTAAATTTTGTCTTAAATGATTTTAGTAAATGTTCAACCCAACACAAACTATAAATCTGGTATGTGTATATTTAAAACTGCACCCTAGTATAACCTTACCTTAGTATAACCTCACCTAGCATAACAACTGACTAATGCTATTCTATAGATATATCTCGTCAGGTAGTTGTTAAGTCTGGAACAACATCTTAAATAATACTCAAAATACTCACTGGTGGGCTTGCTGGTGACGTCATCCTGGGGTCATTAATTATCACTTAACTGGGTTCACTAATTATCAATTAACTGAGGTCATTAATTATCACTTAACTTAGTTCACTAATTATCACTTAACAGTTCACTAATTATCACTTAACAGTTCACTAATTATCACTTAACTGGGTTCACTAATTATCACTTAACTTAGTTCACTAATTATCACTTAACTTAGTTCACTAATTATCACTTAACATAGTTCACTAATTATCACTTAACTGGTCACTAATTATCACTTAACTTAGTTCACTAATTATCACTTAACTTAGTTCACTAATTATCACTTAACTTAGTTCACTAATTATCACTTAACTGAGTTCACTAATTATCACTTAACTGAGTTCACTAATTATCACTTAACTGATGTTACTAATTATCACTTAACTTAGTTCACTAATTATCACTTAACTGAGTTCACTAATTATCACTTAACTGGTCACTAATTATCACTTAACTAAGTTCACTAATTATCACTTAACTTAGTTCACTAATTATCACTTAACTTAGTTCACTAATTATCACTTAACATAGTTCACTAATTATCACTTAACTGGGTTCACTAATTATCACTTAACTTAGTTCACTAATTATCACTTAACTTAGTTCACTAATTATCACTTAACTGGGTTCATTAATTATCACTTAACTGAGTTCACTAATTATCACTTAACTGAGTTCACTAATTATCACTTAACTGAGTTCACTAATTATCACTTAACTGATGTTACTAATTATCACTTAACTGAGTTCACTAATTATCACTTAACATAGTTCACTAATTATCACTTAACAGAGTTCACTAATTATCACTTAACAGAGTTCACTAATTATCACTTCACAGAGTTCACTAATTATCACTTAACAGAGTTCACTAATTATCACTTAACAGAGTTCACTAATTATCACTTAACAGAGTTCACTAATTATCACTTAACAGAGTTCACTAATTATCACTTAACAGAGTTCACTAATTATCACTTAACAGAGTTCACTAATTATCACGTAAATTACACAAACATTCATTAAATATCTCGACACATTATCACTCACTTAACACAATGACGATATCTTTAATATTTTCCGATATGTTTTCCAATAATTTTTTTAAACACTTGACGGAGGTTTAAATCACACTTGTTGATCTTGGCATAACACTTTAAACTTTTTTTTTCTTTATACACCATAGTTTTTATCTCAGATGTTTGTAGCACCATTATTCTACCATTGTTTTATAAAGTCGATAAAGGAATCAGTTCATGGTAGTAGGTTATGTAGGGAGGAGTAAATGGTGACCTCTGGCCGGCCCGTTTGTTATTGTTGGAGAGTTAAAATGTCGACAAGAGACGTTCATAATCGCTCTAAATTCTTCAACTTTTTATTTTATGATCTAAGGTTTGTGTTCTGTTGTGTTATATTAATATATGATATTAATAAAATAAATATAAATATAAATATGAAATAAATCTATCAGGTGTTATTTTTATTTATATACGAATGATCAACAGGTAATAATGCCAGGTACTTCCAGGTGCGATTATTGCTAGATATTTCAATATATTTAATCATATACATGTTAATATACTGTATATATTTCCATTATATTAACACAGTTGCACATGGTACTAGTTTGTATTATGTATATGTATAAATTATATATATATATATATAATTTATATATACAATACACATCAGTTTGAAATATAAAACCCCAAAAATATATTGAATATTATCATTCTGACTCAATTATCTTTAAAACACGTAACTCCGCCACTTTCCTGTGATGTTTTGGTGTCGTTTTATCAAGTAATAACGTACAGTGTTCGTGTTGTTACAGTGATTACAGTTAAATTTTATTATCAGTTCATTTACCGTTGATGAAACTGATTACAGAAATAAACAGTGTTATTTAACCATCTGATGCGTATATAGCTGTTGCGTTTTAAAAGTTAATTGCCTAGTGTTAGTATAATTAATAAATGGTTTCGCTATTTCAGGTTATATAAAAAAAGGTGAGAATTTCCATAAAACAGGAGTTATAAAAATGCCGTTATAGTTATTAAAGGTGTACCGAGACTTAAAGAACATACAGTAAATATAAGAAACTGTGTTGGATCCATTACCAACTGGCTGCTCACGGGGTCAACATCATCTACCAACAGATAAATTGAACAAAATCAGAAACCTTTTGAAAATCAGATGTAAGGTATTTGTTCAGGTACTTTAATTAAGAAAATGAGATTCACAAGAGTCCATTTTCTGTAGTCGTGTGTACATAGTTGGTGTGTTTACATGTGTATATATTAAAACAACCTCTTTCTGTGATAAGTATAAACAATATCTCCTCAGAGGCAGAGTTTTGTATGCCTGGGTAACACTCTAGGAACATACCATCATGATAATCCACGTTCCTGTATGGCTGACTCCTTTCCCAGCTGTGGTTACTGTATTACTGAGGAGGAAACAACGCGTTCTGGTGGCTTATATACATACATACTGTCCTAACACCTGAGGCCCGCCATGTTTTGCCAGGTAAGTTTATAAGATTGTTTTATTTATTTATTTATTTATGTGTGTGTGTGTGTGTGTGTGTGTGTGTGTGTGTGTGTGTGTGTGTGTGTGTGTGTGTGTGTGTGTGTGTGTGTGTGTGTGTGTGTGCCCCAGGAACAGATAGAGCTACAAGGTTCATATTGCATTTATTTATTTACTATGACAATATCTACACCTGTCATGGATCAGCAAGTCAACAGGAACTAGTCACGGCTTTGATACCATCCCATCCCAGTCAATATAACCCCGCCTATAGACACACACAGATACATTTCTCCCAATTCAACTTATTTATACACATTGACAACTCCTGAAGCTGTTACTGGACGGCAAAATGTCAAAGGTGATGAAGGTGCAGTGTCAAAGTTCACGATCTTAACTGAAGGGGAACTAACTAACATAACATATCACCTCGGTCAACAGTAGTCAAGATACAATAATTTGAATCTCCTTGGGGATACTAAGATAAAAAGAAAGATAAATAATGTGTTAAACAGAGAGGAAGACTTACGTGTGAATTAAACGGCGCCAGAGTTAAAATATATGGTTAGCTGCTTAAGTGCCTCTGAGTGCTGGAGTCAGGGTGTAAACACTCTCTAGGAACACGTATGATAAGCTGGGTAATTTTTGGTTGTTTATCTGTTTGGAATTTTGTTTACTGAATGAATAGAAAGAGTAATTATCACTGTCTGTTTGTCCGTCTGTCTGTCTGTCTGTCTGTCTGTCTATCTGTCTGTTTTCCAAATATACAGACAATGTAATTCTCTCTCTCTCTCTCTCTCTCTCTCTCTCTCTCTCTCTCTCTCTCTCTCTCTCTCTCTCTCTCTCAACAAGAGAATCTACCAAACCAACAAGAACTTTATATACAGACAATCCGCTTCACAAACTTAAACTAACTACTAAGCCATTGAGCCTCCGTGTGCATGACTATAAGTACCTCATTGTAGCTCCTCTGTATGCATGACAATGACTATGTGAACGAGCATGACCGGAGCTTCGTAAACACAAGTATAATGATGTTTCCCCCAGTGTGAAT